CTCTCTCTCTCTCTCTCTCTCTCTCTCTCTCTCTCTCTCTCTCTCTCATATATAATATGACCTGAGTAATCCCAAATATAAGTCACTGACATTCCATTTTTTTTTCCATGCGATGCAGGCTGTAAGATGCGAGGCCTTGTTCTTAATCCACTGCATGTGTGTAAGTGTTGATACGTGTGATTGGTACATGGCTGAGACTGAGGGATAGTGGTTGCGATAGAAAACTGATTCTCTGTGTGTGTGTGTGTGTGTGTGTGTTTTCTAACTGTGTGTAGCTCCATGAACTGAGCCAGGCCAAGTTGAAATGGGACTCTTTCTCACCTCTCCTGTCCTTCATTATTCCCCCTTTTATTCCCTCTCTGCCCTTCTCTCCTTTCCCCCCATTCATTTCTCTCTCCTCCTCACCCCTCATCCCCTCATCCAGCGACCCTATCTTCTCCTGCTGCACCCACCTGCCCCCCCGCCCTCCACCTCTGTGATAGACAGGGTGTCCTCACCTTGTAACGATCAGTGACATCCAATATGTTTGGCTTGGGATCATCCCCTGTGTGTCCATTGTGCTTTCTGTTAAACGCTTTATTGATTAGCCGTGAGTTAATTACAAATTACATCAAGCGTGGGCAGACTGAGGTGGCTTACATGGCTGCAGGATCCATCCTGCAGGACCTAATGCATGTTGACTGCACACACCTGCAGGCGTGCATCTCAACCAGCAGGTTACATTAGGCTGCCCCCCTATTAACAGCCATGCATTTATGACATTTCACAGTGCCTTATCACCGCTTTAAGGGCATGCAATATTTTCTGGGCCATTGTAGTGAAAAGGGTAGAATTAGAAACAGGGGGTTTCTGCAAGACACCACTGGTATGCGCCCTGAATACTTAATTCTATCAGGCACAACTTGACTCACCCTATGCAAAATTATGAGACTGTGCCAAATCCACAGCAGACCTTTGGAGGCTAATGTATTCTGGATTTAAGCTCCATTGTAAAACCCATAACACGCCTGCACCTGACCTGCTCTGCTGCAGCCCCCCAAAACAACCTCTCACCTCTGACTTTTGCACAAAGTTAAGAAATGTAAATAATAATAATGATAACAATAGCAAAAAGAATAATAGTAATAATAGTAATAATTGTTGCCACCTGCAACAGCATGCATTGTTTTCCTTTTAGCCTTTTTCCTTTTCATGCCGTGTCAGTTTCTGTGTGACATTGGCATGTACTTTGTTCAAAAGGAAAAAGGAGCGGAAAAAAAATCTTTATCAAATCCCCATTCTGAGGCTTTCAATAAGGCAGGCCATTACCTCACTGGCGCTTTTGTTCGGCCTATACAAGAGAGAACAAAATGGTTATTCAGGAGGACGCTTTAGATTTTTATTGTGGGCTCGCTATTCACAAAGAGCACCGTTATTGTATTAAAAAGAACCATCTGTGGCAGAAACAATGGCTTCAAATTATCTGTGAATACCCAGTGAACAAAATATAAAGCTTTTTTCCTGCTCATTATGTTGGCTAAGCTAGGGGGTGGAAGATAGGAGAGGAGAGGCATAGACTTTGCTATAACTGACTTTTGTTGTTCTTGCCTGCATTCTTCTCCTTTTTAAATCGGCCCCCTTTTCACGTTGTGTGTCGCCATAAACGGCTTTTCTTGTTGCAGGGCTCGCGGAAAGAAGACAGCGGAGCTCCAGACAGACAGCGGGGCTCCGCGGGGCTGCACGCCGGACAAAAGCGAGCCGGCTGGCGGATAGAAACCGCGCGGACTACCGGGGATGGGGGGGGGGGGGAAACACGCGGACGGTGCCCCGTTGGAGGGTTTAACGGCCGCTCATCGGGAGCTCCGTCCCGGGCAAGTTGAGGCTTCCTCGCCGGGTGAGGCGCATGGAAAATATGGAGGAAGTTGAGCGAAATGGCATCTTGTTTCATTTCTGCCAATCAAGACGAGAGGACTCCCAAACTGGCAGTAAGTTGGAGAGCGGCGGTGAGGAGAAGCCGTGTTTGTGTGTGTGTGTGTGTGTGTGTGTGTGTCGGTGTGTGTAGCCTATGTTAGTGTGTGTTTGAGTCGGTGTGTATGTGTGTGTGTTTGTGTGTGTGTAAAACATGCAGTGTTGTGGAATGACACCGCATGGCATCATGAGTTGTTGGCCGGTTTGGTTCTCAACAGAGATCATCTGTGCGAACAGAATACATGGTTTTCAAATTCCACGTTTCCTCGATGTAGCCTAATTTAATTATATTTATTTTATTTTATCCTCTTTTATTTTTTTCAAAGAATGATATTAAAACACAAGGTTTGAATTACAATTCAAGCAGAACGCCTTGAAATAGTTTTACTCAGGCTTCATCGATGCCATTTTATTAGACTATTAAAGACGTTTATTTTATTTTATTCTACCTAATATGATGTTTAAGATTGTAGTCTCACTTTATATTGTGCTATTTTCGCTTTATGTTTTAATCCATTATATTCTAATATGTTGCTCGACATCTTGTCAAAATTACAACCTGATATACGTTCATGCTGTATGCTATAATCTGATTTATTTGAGTTAATCATCGCACTAAATAACTATTGCCCAAATCTATTTTTGAAAGAATGACAGTTGTAACATTATAACAAACCAATAACTGTGCGTCTGATTAAAGACTCATTTGTGTCTTAAACAAATTATGATAATTGTTTTTCCATCTATTTAAAAAAAATACCGTTATACATGATGTTTAATATAATCTCCATGTAAGACTTATTCATGTTTTCATAAAGTATTTTCTCGGCTGCGTCTCCAGCTGCTGGTACGGCCCCTAGTGGCAAGAGTTTATTTTCATTTGTACCTATATGTCTCCCTCATTGCCATGGGCTATACAATTACCATATGCTCTTTTCCCCTTTGCCAGAATTAATCATTTCATAGATGTGTATATTTGCATTTTATTTGGATGAATTGACATGTACCAATATCTCAGCGATCAGCTCAGAAATTGTATTTATGATAACATTACTTTTGTAAGAGTTCAAACCGCAGCATCCTTCGTGCGCGGCGGCTGTTAGAATATTATTTTTTTTCCAGTTATATTGTTGCCCTTTTTTTTCTCGCTTGTTTTTGCACTGATCCTATCACCTAAATTTTTGCAACCACAAAACAGTATTTTGATATCACAGCGTGCTGCTCGCTATATTTGCTGTATCCGTCCCAACCTGGTGTAGCGGGGGGCTTACAAGTGGCCCAAGGGAGCCGCCCCGCTAGTTTCTCCTGTATTTTGTCAAACAACGGCTTTAATTCAGGATGATTGTGGATGCAGGGCCATTCCCGGGTGGATGGAGGCCTGCTTTCAGGGAGCTGCGGGGCCCCGCTGTTCCTTTATTATCATAAGCAGATTAGAGGTAGCGGGGAACACACTCAGATGCAGATAGCAGCCGAGCGGCCCATTTCAACCTTGCATTATAATGGGCCGAGCTGCATGTGTCGCCTCTCGTAGCCTATTAAGCACAAGATGAATCTTATGTAAGGTTGCCGGGGCCGGCATAATGAGAGCACGGGGGCTCCGCTCCTCCATTTATTATCAAATGACTAAAACAAAATAATAAGGCTTGATCTATTCACTTTCAATTACGATTTAATCTAGAGACACGCATTTCAATTTAATTATTTCAGGTGTATGTACTTGATCTATCTTTAATTATTGGGATTGTCTGGCCTGCAGAGCCAGACAGGCTTTGTTGAGCTCGTCAGTTCTTTATTTTAGGCCTGGTGTTGTTGGGTGATGAATGTATTGTAAATGCATATTTTTTTTAGCATTTCATATATCTTTAGCTGAACTTCTAAAAACAGTCATCCTCCATTCCCTCTCTCTACATTGAGGAAAACCTGCCTGGGCTTTTTGGAGTTGTCCGTAGTTCCCCATCTGTCCAGTAGGCGGCGCTGGTGTCACGCAGCCTACTGGACAGTCTTTAGATGGAGATTCAGGAAACGAGGCAAAGCAAGTGGCAACAACACTCCCAACCGCGCAAACAAACTTTGGTCGTTTTGGACATTAAAACTATACGAGTGAATTATTTCGACTTGACTACGATGATGCAGGTTTTTTTTCCTCTGATAATATTCGCTGTCCGGTCAGTTTGATCCAGAGGAGAGTGAGGCAGGTGGAGGCCGCTTTTCATTCACACTAATTGGCCGACACGCTTGTTCAGGCTTATATGAATGAGCCGCGGCTTTTGTTCAAACACACTTTATCTTTAAATATTCCTCACCTTTAATTCTCCTCCCCTCGTGTCCCCGGTAGGCCGTAGGCCTACAGCCTAACCCCCCCCTGTAAAGCTCCAACAACAACAGCAGCACTGTGGCGGTGGAAGTGGAGTGGAGTTGGGTCTTTGTCCGGACAGATGTAGCGACAACATCCCAAACAAAAACCGCTTATTTGTGCTGAGATGAGCCCGTCTGCCTTCTGTGTGTTGGCATTCAACTTCACTAAACAAAAGGACTGGGGGAAACATCTTGGATTACCTTTCCTCTTTTCAACGCTAAAAACCAGCCGTCCCCCCCAACACACACACACACACACACACACACACACACACACACACACACATTCACACACCAGCATCGCTATTCAACGCTTTGAGTTAACCAACAAAGTTTATTTAAGTGTTGTTATGTTATTTGGCCCGTAAGTGGGGGCATTAGTGACTTTTTAATTTTGAACAACAGCAGGGTCACGGCCGGGACTTAATGTCAGGACAATGCTGTTCAAGACAAGATGACACTGACACCATTCATGTCAACATGCGATGAATTTATTTAACACCTTTTTTATTTATTTTATTCTCATCTCATTTCATGTCACCTGTTCGACTTCGGATTTGTTGGTAGAATCTAGGCTACACATTTAATTAGAAAACAAACCTTATTTATTAGAAATTCTTAAGTCACCCTTAAGACATATCTTTTGTATTTATTAGGAACGTTTTTAGTCATAATATACTTGTTTATGTTTGCAAGACGACACTTTGTCATTTCAAAACTGCCAGCAAACTTTTGAAAGTCCCTCTTCCTCTGTATAATATAAGATATTGTTCATAAAGTGCCACTGTATATATACATATTCTCCTAGAAATATCTCCATAAGCCTGCAGATGGTAAATATGTACTTTATATTGGCTCATATGGGCAGCCCGAGATCGCATGTGTGCGTGTGTCTCGGGGCAGAGCAGACCCCACCCCTTTATGCTAATTAATCTCCCCCATTGGCGTGTCAGGGGAGCAGGCCGTCTCTGATTGGCCAGGTCGAAGCCATTTATTCGCTGACAGCCCCGTCACATGAATGGTTGTCTATTAACTTGTTCAAAAACTATCTGGAGTTGTCAAGGCTCAGGCGGACGGAGGGCGAAAAGTACAGTTTGTTGATGCTTTTTCGGAGAAGCGACTGGAGAAGTTTTGTGGACACAACATAGCAAGGGACCTATTGGGAGAAGGCTCTTTGTCACACATACACACACGCGCGCACTCTGAAACACACTCACCGAGCGGGAGAGAGAGAGAGTGTGTAGAGACGCGGCTCGGGTGCTTGTTGTTTTTGTCCAGAGAAAAAGTTGCAGAGAAAAAATCGACAGGTAACTTTTCAGCAGCAGCCCCTGCGCTCCTCACTGTCCTGCCTCTGGCTTGTGGAGTTTGTCTCTGTTTTTTTTTTTCTTCTTCTTCTTTTTTCTCCTCTGCTCGGGAGCCCCAACTGAAAGCTGTTCCTGATGTATAACATGATGGAGACTGAACTGAAGCCCCCGGCTCCCCAGACCAACACGGGGGGCTCGGGCAACACCAACACGTCCGGCTCCGGCCCCAATCAGAAAAACAGCCCGGAGCGGGTCAAGAGACCCATGAACGCGTTCATGGTGTGGTCCCGGGGCCAGAGGCGGAAGATGGCGCAAGAAAACCCCAAAATGCACAACTCGGAGATAAGCAAGAGGCTGGGCGCGGAGTGGAAACTTCTCTCGGAGAGCGAGAAGAGACCTTTCATCGACGAAGCCAAGAGGCTGCGGGCCCTGCACATGAAGGAGCATCCGGATTACAAATACCGGCCCCGGCGGAAAACCAAGACCCTGATGAAGAAGGACAAGTACACCTTGCCCGGCGGGCTGCTGTCCGCGGGAGGAAACGGGATGGGAGGTGGTGTCGGCGTCGGGGTGGGGGGCGGCCTGGGCGGTGGGGTGAACCAGCGGATGGACAGCTACGCGGCGCACATGAACGGCTGGACCAACGGCGGCTACGGCATGATGCAGGACCAGCTGAGCTACCAGCACCCGGGGCTGAACGCGCACAACCCGAGCCAGATGCAGTCCATGCACCGCTACGACATGAGCGCCCTGCAGTACAACACCATGGCCAGCTCCCAGAGCTACATGAACGGCTCCCCGACATACTCCATGTCCTACTCCCAGCAAGCCACACCGGGGATGACCGCCCTGGGCTCCATGGGGCCCTCCTCGGTGGTGAAGTCCGAGTCCAGCAGCTCCAGCCCGCCCGTCGTCACCTCGTCGTCCCATCGGGCCGGCCCGGGCTGCCAAAGCGGAGATCTGAGGGACATGATCAGCATGTACCTGCCCGGGGCGGAGGTCAGCGAGCAGACCGCCCAGACCAGGCTACACATGTCCGGCCACTACCAGAGCACCGTGCCCGGGACGACGATCAACGGCACGCTGCCGTTAACACACATGTAAGAGACACACAGCAGAGAGAGAGTGAGAGAGAAAGAGAGAGAGAGAGCGAGAGCGAGAGAGAGAGAGAGAGCGCAAGAGAGAGAGAGAGAGAGAGAGAGAGAGAGAGAGAGAAAATGAACTTTTATAAGAGAAACTGTGGACTATTAACGTTGGACTATTTTTGTACAGAAAAATTTCGGGGTGGGAAAAGTTGTATAGAAGTCTCGAGAAAAAGGACACACGACTCTTTTTCTTTTCTTTCATTTTATTCTAAGGGAGCTCTAGAGGAACGGTAGGAGATGCCCTCTTCACTGGTGGACGAAGTTTGGAAGACTAGAAAGTGGGAGTCGCAATCAAATGTTTTATTATTGCAATCACCTTTTGTACAGTATTTATCAAAGAAACATTACAATCAGATGAAATTGTTTGTTAAACTGCAAGAGGTTGCATTTTTCTTTTCGTTTTTTTTATATATATAAAGCAAGGCCAGTTCTGCAGAAAATATTAAAAATGAAGATGGCAGAACTGGAATTATGAGCGATCAGTTATGCTCCTTTATTACTGCAAACATTGGAAAGAAAAGGGACATAAAAACGATACAGGTAATACTGTTTTTTCTTCATATAAGGTCAATATTACTTAACATTTTAATTTCTTAAAAAAAGAAGACACTTTTTTCTCTCATACAGCTTAAAATATAGGTTGTTAATTTATATTTCCGTCTCCCACTTTTCATCTGTTAGAGGTATGACGCTTGTGCTCTTTATTTTCTAATTGATTTGTACAATTTCTGTATATTTACTGTGATATTTTAAGTTTTTATTTCAAAATTTCATTCCCGTAGTTGTATTTTAAAAATTGTGGCCTGTACGCAGAAGCCAACCACTCTATGTATATATCTACCGGAACTAATACCATCCTTATAACAGTTACAATTTCAGCTGAGTATATTTTTTTTTCAATATGCAGTTTGAAATGAATAAATTTTGGAAATTTGGATACTTGATATTGTTTGAGTTTTGATTTTATTTCTCTCTGTCATTTTCTGTGTGCAGGTTAAATTGTCATCTGTCTTTCTTCTGATGTTAATTATTCCCTGTAAATGTAACACTGACTTTTTACGTCTTTATGAATATAAAATATTTGACTTCAGCTAACAAAAATAACAGTTTTGGGGGGTGCTTTGCTTTTAAACTCCACTGATCAAATAACTCAGCTTGTGCGTCGTGGTTTCTATTTTCTAGTGCCTGCGGACGGCCCCATCAAGCCAAAGTTTGTTGCCTGTTTCCTAAAAAGGGGGAAGATTTTTCCACCACATAATGCCCAACATCCCCAGGTATAGACTGACATTTCTCCTCTTTTATTCTTAATTTAAAAACAACTAATCATCAATAATCACTGCTGTTGAGGCACAAGCTACATTTAACAATATCTATTTTCTTTTTAAATTAATGTATTCTTGTATTATTTATTATTTTGTAGGCTTGTTAGAATATTGGACCTGTTTTTGATGACAGGGGACTGAGGGAGGAATAATTACATATCTAGGCATAAATCAGATTTATTTCCCTCATTCAGTTATTATAGATTTGTGTGAACTGACAGAAGGATTTCTGTCGTTGGTGGATTTTGATTTTCTAATGACACTTGACTGTGACAACAGCATGTCTGGATATTCATGAGTAGCCTATTTAGCCTGCAGCAACCTAATCCAATGGGCTCAGGTCTGTTCTCGTGTTGTAACAGTTCATCCTGGTGTTTGGTTTAAACAACAAAGTGCGATACTTTTTTTGGACGCTTTTTTCTCTCTTCTACAAATAATAGAGCTGCAGTTCACCAGCCCTCAATGTTCAATTAGGTCTAAATTGAAGGTGAGCCCTCTTGAAAGGAGCCAGGCGAGCGGGACCGGCAGGGATGCTTTTTCTCCCGCGATGTAATGGCTGTATAAAATCTCGAGTGTGGCCATTTCAATTGAATGTTTAATCAAACGGGCCCTGCTGTTTCCCGTTAACCCCGGTTCTCACGGTTCAAGCTCTCCGGTGCCTCCACCACCACCCCTCCTGCCTTAAAAAAAAACACGGAACCGGTTACAAAATGTTCCCATGCATCTCTTTGCCAGCCAG